TGGCTTTTAAACCCTTTTTTTTTTTTTTTTTTTTTTAAATCAATTTTTTTACGTTTTTTTCAGGACGATACGTCTACATTTGAAGTTGATCATACCGATTATTTTACCACTACTCAGTTGTTTGACTCGAAGGATGAGGTAGTGGTTTGGGTGAGGTTCGTTGCAAGAGGTCTTTTTGTGAAAATAGTAAAAAGAAGCAGTCCTAAAAAAAAGATTTTTTTGACTTGTGACCTATTCGGGGAAAAACGAGAATGTCCATCAACTAATCCAGACGCGCGCCCGAGAAGGACCGGTAGCAAAAAGATAGGCTGTGGTTTTTATATTGTCGGAGAGCTACGATGGGATGATAGATGGGAGGTCAGAGTAATATACGGGAAGCATAATCATGTTCCGATATACAAGTCCGGGCATGGGATGAGTGCATTGTCTCAGGAGGAGGCGGAGATCATTAGTGATCTGTCACAAAGTCATGTGCCGCCCAAGAAGATTTTGGCTAACTTGAGACAAAATGGTTTGGGTCTCGATGCTTATTCGAAACAAATATACAATCAGAAGGCGAAATTGAAAAGACTATCTAGGGGTGACCGTACAGTGATGCAACATTTGATTGGGTTGCTTGAGGAGCATAACTATTACAAGTGGTTCCGTACTGATGAAACAACACATGCAGTTACTGATTTGATGTGGGCTCACCCTCAATCTGTCGAATTGTTAAGTAAGTTTCCGTACGTATTACTACTTGACAGTACTTACAAAACCAATCAGTACAAATTGCCTTTGTTGGAGATTGTTGGTGTTACTCCTGTCGGGAAAAAATTTACTGTTGCAGTCGCATTTTTGCGCCATGAAAATGAAGACCATTACACATGGGTGTTGCAAAAGCTGAAGAGACTTTTCCCCCCTCAGACTCTACCTAGTGCCATCGTGACGGATCGAGAGTTAGGGCTCATAAAGGCGCTAGAGAATGTATTTCCGACCGTACCTCATCTCTTATGTCTTTGGCACATTAACATGAATGTGGGGCGTCGTACTTCAAGATGTCTCGGCAATAGTAGGCGTCGCGGCACGGCTTTTGTACTTGGTATGTGGCAAACTTTGGTAAAATCAGTGTCTGAAGAAGATTTCGCCAGGAATTACACAGCTTTGATTGACGAGTACACGAATTATCCAGATTTGATTGAGTATCTCCAATACACTTGGCTCGTATACAAAGAGAAATTTGTAAAAGCATGGACGGATCTAATTTTCCATTTGGGTAATACATCGACAAGCAGGTATTTATTTATAAGTGGTTAAATACATATACTTAACTTACTGTCATGTAGTTTATTGAAACATAGCATATTCTAAACATATTAGGGTGGAGAGCAACCATAGAGCATTGAAGAGATGGTTGGAATCGTCCACGGGTGGCTTCGACACATTTTGGGCACAGTATCACTCAATGATGAAAGATCAATTTAACGAGATACTAGCCGATTTTGCAAAATCAAAGAGGATTCGGCCCAGACGATCAACGTGCCCGTATTTAAAATATTGTCCAGTGGAATTGTAACACATAATGCTCTGCAGATGTTGGACGATGAGAAGGATGAAGACATAGACGGTTGCGTCTGTTATATGAGGAAATGTCTTGGACTCCCATGCAGACATGAAAGTAGTGAGACACAATCATCGTCGTCGGGGCCCGGCCAAGTACACTTCGCGTGCGACCGTAATTTAACCATATGTCGACCCTGTTCAAGATATATTCATATATAAGTATACCACAAGCAAGTGTAAATATTATAAACAAAATTTATTAATATTAATAAGTATTACCTTTCCCTCCCAAATGTCGTAGGCAATATGTGCTCCAAAACTTGGAATCAAGTGAGCGTATTTAGGTCCACCGGGTGTCTCACCGGTCAACATCCAAGGTCGAGAAGGAAGTTTTTTTCTCGGAGCGGTGCGGGACCTCGAGACAGGATTAGAACCACCGAAAGTACCACCCATCGGGACAGGAGGCGGAGTCGGAGTCGGAACATCCTCGTAATCGTCATCGGATGGAAAATCCGGCACCGGAAACTGATACTTCTGCTGAAAGCGTAGTTGTGGATCGTACTCGTACTCCTGCGGATGCATATATGCATCCATGGGTGCATCCATCTCCTGCTCGGCCTCTGTCTCTGTCTCCTCCTCAATCATCGTACGTGGGGGTACAAAAGCACCAGTGTGTTCCCCACGACGTTTAGAACCGGTAACATTTCTATTATGTGTCCTTCCCTCCCGTTCCGCAGTATTCTCCTCCACCGGATCTGCAGGAGGACGAATCAGGAGTCCTTTCCCTTTTCCCAGTCCGAATTTTTTCGCCCAATTAGACATCCTGTAAACATAAAATTATTATAATTGTCTTTGAATTAACTAAATTATATTAAATTTACTAACTTATTTTAATTCAGAAAAAAAAAATTATTTTAAATCAGGAAAAAAAAAAAATTAAACCGAACGCCCGGTTTGGGGCGTTTCCCGGCCGAATCGAGGACCGGGCGCCGGTTTGCCCGGGAAACGCCCAAACCGGGCGTCCAAACTGTGATTCCACGCCCGACTTGGGCGTTTGGCTACAATTTCCGAAAATTTCAAAAGCCCTACAAATCGATTTGTAGGGCTTTTAAACATGAAATTGGTTGCAAAATCGAGTTACCCATTGCATATAACACATGTAGGTGTTGAAATTACCTGAAAAAATCGAAGCCCAAGCAAGAAATTGGTTGATTTCGAAATTTTTCGAAAAAAAAAAAATTTTCTGCAAATTTTGGAATGGGGTGGTTTTGGAGAGAATTTAGAATTTTGGGGGTTTTAGAGAGATAAACTGTTTTTTAATTTGAACGGTAAATAACAGTTATTAAACCGTAAAGAGCATTTTCTTAATAAATATATGATTGCAGTATTGTCAACTCGGGTCTTTTTCGGTCCATGGGCCTTGGCCCATTAGATATTATTCTTTTTTTTTTTTTTTTTAAGTTTTTCTTTTTCCTTATTTAAAACCTACGATACAATATATATATTTACTAGTACACTTATATATGGATAAATAAATGCAATATAAAATAATATCCTAATTTACTTTTTGTTTTTATTTTTTTAATTTCTAGTAGTGGAGGTAGAGTTACAAAAATTAAATAAAAATACAAGGCTGAAAAGATCAAAAGAGAAAAAGAGTACGGTTATGTACAAACTAGATTTACTTCAATGCCCTTAAATTAATTAATTTATTTTCCATCAAAAAATAATTAATTAATTAATTTAAATTCCTAATTTAATAAGTAGGTGTTAATCCACTTAGCATTAAGGATTGTTTCTTCATCCAGACTTTGACCAAGTGAGTGATATGTGCTTCTTCTGTGGAGAGCTGTCGGAAATTTAAATGTAAATATAAATTAATATATGGTTAAATAAAAATTAAATGTCACAAAAGATTGTTGCCTATTTATTTTCTTATAAATAATTCATTAATTCCAATTTCAGTCCTTATTACAAATCCTGATGTTTTGTAGTAATCCTTGGACAATGCCCCAATTTTCACTCTCTCACAATCTTTGCCTTCCTAATGAATATGTCACGCAAAAGAAACTCTAATTAAATAAAAATATAATCAACTTATTTAATATAATAAATATCCCTTCTAAATATAAATAATTAAAAAAATCAATAACCAATATACAATAAATAATTATATAAAATAAAACATTTGAAGATCCACACCTCGTGCAATCACGTCTATTATCTCCTCAGAATCTTTAGCCAAAAAACCAAAAAAGACCAAAAGAAACATTCCTATAATAACGTGGAAGCCACTTTTATTTAATTTAATTTAATTTAATAATAATAAAAAAAAACCACCTAAATACACATATAAATAACAACACTCCATTTGCTAAATCTTGCACCACAAAATTAAAAACCATGGCTTCTCTTAAACAAACACTTACAACTCTAATCCCATCCTTAATCATCATTCTATCAACATTAGTACTAATTGTTGATTCATCAAGCACTCCAAGTACTTATTACAACAAAGTGTTGAACCCAATAGACTCTTGTTGGAGGTCCAAATCGAATTGGGCCTCCAACCGTCAAGCCCTAGCTGACTGCGCAGTTGGCTTCGGCAAAAACGCAATCGGAGGCAAATACGGGTCGATATACGTTGTAACGGATCCTTCGGACAACCCGGAAACTCCCAAGCCCGGTACGCTCCGGTACGGTGCGATCCAGGATAAGCCGCTGTGGATCACTTTCGCTAGGAGCATGGTGATTGAACTCGGGAACGAGCTTATGGTGAATAGTTACAAGACGATCGATGGGAGAGGGGTGAAAGTGGAGATTGCTAATGGTCCGTGTATAACGCTGCAGTACGTTAAGCATGTGATTATACACGGGATTAGTGTGCATGATTGTAAGCCCGGGAATTCGGGTATTGTGAGGAATAGCCCGACCCATATGGGCCATAGACGGGGCTCCGATGGAGATGGGATTGATATATTTGCTTCGTCGGATATTTGGGTCGACCATTGTTACCTTGCGAGGTGCACCGATGGTCTTATCGATGTCATTCATGCTTCGACTTCTATCACTATCTCTAACAACTATTTTACGCAACACGACAAAGTAAGTATTTTATTCGCGGTTTTATCAGTTTTTCTATTTCAATTAGCATAATTACCACTTACCAAATTTTATTTTTTTAAATTTTAACATAAGTTGTAATAATTAAAAAAAAATGTGCAGGTAATGTTGTTTGGACACGAGGATAACAATTTGGAGGACAAAAGTATTAAGGTAACAGTAGTGTTTAACCATTTCGGCCCTGGTTTGGTTCAAAGAATGCCAAGGTACGTGCAATATATGTTTAATTTTAATCAAAAAAAAATTAATAATAATTTCTATATTTTATGTTTTTTATCATATGGAGTATTTTTTAAGTATTTAAATTATTTTATTTATTTATTATCACAAACAGGGTTAGGTTAGGATACGCACACGTGGCAAACAACAGATACGAACAGTGGGAAATGTACGCTATTGGCGGGAGTGCTAATCCAACAATTTTCAGTGAAGGAAACTATTTTATGGCACCCAATAATCCTGGCATTAAACAAGTAAATCCACATTTTTTTCTTGAATTTAAATAAAAGGGTAAATTACGGAAAACACCCTAAACTTAGGCAAAATAACTAAAAACCCATCCACCTATCCATAATTACTAAAAAAAACCCACTGACTAACTATTGACTGAGTTTTTAAATAGAAAATGTGTAAAGTCCATTATAATTTATACACTTCGGTTAAATACGTGAAAATAAAAGAAAAAGTTTGAAATACGTAAAGTTTACATGAGATCTCGAGCAAGGCCACGAATTTTATGAACAACTTCATTAATGATATCTTCGAGAAATTGATGCAGGAGGTAGAATAAATCGACATTTTTTTGTGAAAAGTCACACCATAGGGGGGTTTGTGTAAGACATAAATTAAACAAATGTCAGGAGAATTTTGGTAACTACGAATAGTTTGGGGTGTTTTTCGTTATTTAGTCTAAGCTCAGGGGGTTTCGTAATTTACCCTAAATAAAATTTAATAGTGATAATTAAGCTAATTGCTAAATTTAATTAAAATTAAGCATTAATTAATTAACAGGTTACAAAGAGAGAGACAAGCGGGTGGAATAACTGGAAATGGAGATCATCAAGAGATAAATTCTTCAACGGTGCATATTTTGTTCCATCGGGATACGGGAGCTGTGCACCCGGCTACACCGGAGCGCAGTCCTTTCCGGTTGCTGACGGTGCGATGGCCCCCGCTCTGACGGCGAATGCTGGCCCCTTGAGCTGCACTGCTAATAAACCATGTTGAAAATGTTTTTTTGTAAATATATTTACAATTAATTCAAAATACCTTTGCTCTTGCAGAAAAAAATGTCATGTGCATGCAATAGGGTTTTTTTTTTTTTTTTTTTTTTATAATTAGGATCAGTTTTGAAGAAGCTTCCTAACTGCTAACTGCTAACTGCAATTGGCTGGCTAGACAGCTTTTTTTGAATAATTTGAAGTATTTTTTGTATGTTTTAATTGTTCGTTTTTTCAAAATTACGGTTAATGAATGGAAAATAAAATTTATTTTGAACAATAGAAACTAGCAAATTTACCTTAGCTTAATTTGATCGATCAACAGCTTGAGAAGTCCGTACTTCGATTTATTTAATCTTCGAACAATCTTGCTACGTGTTTAAATCGTGCTACGTGTTTATTTAATCTTCGGACGATCTATTTAATTAAGTATATAAAAGAAAAAAGTTTTGGCAATAACTTGCACGGTTCGAGATTCAAAGCATCCCTTTATCTTAATCTCTTCAAATCCCTCGTATGTAGTTTCTTGATTTTTTCGATTCCATCGAAAACCGAGTACAAGAATCTCATTGGCCATACTCAAATTAGATTAATATACAATGGTTCAATTCCTTATGTAAATATCAATATTAA